TGTACTGGAGACCACGCTCTGTGCACGGGTGTATTTCACCCTTATGCCAGTGTAATCTAGAACTAACCCCTACATTCAAGTCACAGGGTAGTTGTATACCATGGAGACGATAGTGGCATAACCCTCTAGTGCAGACGCAGCATGCGTTGACAAAAGGGTTAGTGTAGGAACACCACCTCCCTGAATGAGGGTAGCTATGTTGATGGAAGCATTTTCCTATCAGCATAGCTGCATCTGCACTGGGGGATAGGTCAGCATAGCTATCTCAGCCAGCAGTGTGTGGTTTTCACACCTCTGACGGACACAGCAATGCCAACCAAGCCAAAGGGTGGATGTAAAACTAAGACAGGAGAGACGGGCTGTTAAATGTGACTGTTTCCTTAACAGAATTCCATTCCTCACCTAATTTAGGGTGGGATTTTCTAAAAGTACTCACTCTTGCTCTAACTCTGCTCCTGTTGACCTCCACAGGAGCAGGGTGAGGCCAGCACCAAGTGCTTCTGAAAAGTCCACCATTCCTTCATAATAAACCAATTATATCTTTACTTAGGAAGTTGATGTTAAGGCTAGGTGGTAGAAGAGGTGCTGTCACTAGGGAGTGCTTAACAAGGGAAATTGTTTCTTTCCTTATTTCTAGAGCACAGCAGGAATGCTTTTTCAGAGGTGACAATTGTCTTCAAGCAGACCGTGAATTTGGAAACGTGTGTGTTTAATACAATAACTGTTGTCAAGACGAAGGCAATATTTCTCCACTCCCGGGGCAATTAATTGTTGCCAAGAGTTGTGTTCAAAGTGCCAGCTCCTAATGCCACAGACTTATACTGCTGCTTCACACTTGGAACTGCCTGTAAGCCTATAATCTGCAATAGCTGTTCTATAGCTTAGCATAGCAAAAGCTAAATTGCTTCTCTGAGAGAAATAAAATGGTTGACGCACAGAGGCTTTAATGAAGCCATTGTTCTTAATTTACCAGCATAGCTGAGAAAAGCACCACGAGCACTCCTGACATACCTGCTCTGTACACGGGATCTCTGCTCAGATTCCCCTTAGCCATGCTCTTATGACAGCTCCCTGGACTGAACAGTGGAGGGGAGCCGCTTGGAACAAAGTTTAGACCATTCTTTCAAAAAGTTAAATCAATTTTTCAGTAAAACCTCTGATTAAAAGAAAGAAACTGGGGAAAACTGGAGCCATGTTTTACCAGTTG